TAAGTTAATTTATTCGCTTTTGCTCAGGAAGAAAGCCCCTATCTGCCACATGGATTGAGTTTACACAGGGGCAGGAATGCTGCTGCTGGAAAGGGGCCTGGGCGGGCGTGCCTTCCTGCTTCTCCTCTGGCGGAACTCGCGCGTCATCGTGTCCAAATAAGGCCTGCAAACTTCCTCTCCGGGACGGATCCCAATAAACAGTGCATCGGGATCAATTTACGGGTAAATTTTCATTTTTCTAGCAACTCCATCGCCAAGCAGGAGCTTTTTTTCACGAGTCCCTGTAAAAAAAAGATACAAAAAGTAGCGCTCTCCTTTACAGACTCTGACAGACGAATGAATGAACCGGTGGATTAAAGTTCGAGCGTCTGTTTCCCCAAAAATAATCTAACCTCCTCGATTACTGCCCGTTCCACCTGTACACCTGCACGAACGTGTGCGTGGATACTGTTTTGTTTTTCTCCCCCTGCGCCCGGCACTCCGCCGCGGTCCCTCCTCGGTGCGCCGTGTCTTGCCTACAGGCTTGTTTACAGCCGTCTCTTCCCGGCATCGGCGTCACCTGACGTCACGCTCCCTGGGCGTGGACCCACTGGCCCACCCGACCAATCGGCGGGCCTCCTCAACGAGCCCCCCCACCTCCGGATAAAATAAAGCCAGAGCGGCTTCCACCGGCCGAACACACACCTCAGCAAACAGCCAGAGACGCGCTTTTACGCACGGGGAGTCCAACTTTTTTAACTCCAGAGGATTGTGAAAACAGCAATAAGACTTTGGGAAACCTTCTTATATCTCTTGACGCTGAACAGAGAGTTTTCTTGGACGTTCACTCTTTGCTTGGGGGGTGATTATTTTTATTTTTTCTGGGGCATTTGTTGGGACACTGTTCCAGAGACGACGAGTGCCTGATTCGATCCATTTTCTCACGGCTGACACTGAATATTATTGATAGCCCAGAGACTGTGTTTCTATAAGCAGCCGGTAAGCTTACTTTTTCCTATACGGCTTTATGTCTACAAAGATGGAACAGCCTTTTTATCATGACGACTCGTTTCTGTCGGCTTACGGCCACTCAGACGCGGCCATGCACGACTACAAACTGCTAAAGCAGAATATGAATTTGAACTTGACAGAGCCCTATCGCAGCCTGAAATCCCAGCTGAGGGCCGAGGCGGACCCGTACCAAGGGGGCCAGCAGGACGTGGGCTCCCTGAAGCTTGCGTCCCCCGAGCTCGAGAGGCTCATCATCCAAAACAGTAACAGCGGAGTGATCACCACTCCCACCCCGGGTCAGTACTTCTACAACCGGGGCATCACCGATGAGCAGGAGGGCTTCGCCGAGGGGTTCGTGAAAGCCCTGGACGAGCTCCACAAGATGAACCAGATGCCCCCTCCCAACGTGTCCATCGGTGCCGGTGGCGGCGGGACGACGTGCTCGGCGGCGGCCTCTGGCGTCTTCGGCTCCGCTCTGCAGCCCGAGACGCCCATCTACACCACGCTGAACGCCTACTGCCCGAACACGAGCCTCTCCTCCGCGTCCAGCTACCCCACGGCCACCATCAGCTACCTGCCGCCCCACCAGCACGGCCACTCGCAGACGTCGGCCCACCACTTCCAGCACGCGCTCCCGGGCGCCCCGGGGCTGCACCCGCAGCGGCTCGCGGCCCTCAAGGAGGAGCCCCAGACCGTGCCCGACCTCCTGAGCAGCGACGGCTCGCCGCCCATGTCCCCCATCGACCTGGAGACGCAGGAGAGGATCAAGGCGGAGCGCAAGCGGCTGCGCAACCGGCTCGCCGCCACCAAGTGCCGGCGGCGCAAGCTGGAGCGCATCGCGCGGCTGGAGGAGAAGGTGAAGATCCTCAAAAACGACAACGCGGGGCTCTCCAGCACCGCCTCGGTGCTCCGGGACCAGGTCAACCAGCTCAAACAGAAGGTCCTGACGCACGTGAGCAGCGGCTGTCAGCTGATGCTCACCAGCAAACTGGAGGCCTTTTAAAGAAAAGACAGTAGAAACGAGACTGATAAAAAAAGTAATAACACTGGAGTCATGTTCTGCACGCGCAGCACTGGAATACCAGCCGGTGCGTCGCCGGGACTGTGGACAGGGCTGTTGAGGGGTCAAAACAAGACAGATATGGTACTTCCGGATGCTGGACACCGCTCATAGGACCATTCAAGCCTCAAAAACAAAAACCAGGGCAGCATCCAGACTGAGCAGACACTGAGCAACACTGTGGGCACGGACCCCCCC